TCATCTAGTCCCAGCACTTGAGTCGGGAGTTGGGATAAAATGGCCCTGCTCACTGCGTGCGCTTCTCCATTGGACCTCCCTTTGCCAACACCCATCCTGGAACGAAGTTTGCATCCCTGGGTGCACAGAACAGGCATGAGATTCGAGGGACCCTTTCTTTGTCTCCCTCAGCTCTGCTGGACTCTCTGTTGGTGACCACTTCTGGGATACAGTCCCTTAGCACCCTCCTCCCTTCGTGGCGAGGTGATGTGGCTTTGTATCTGGATCCACTGCACGCAGGCTGGGACCCACTTAGCCACTGACAGAGCCCAGCAGAGGAGTTATTTTTCTGCCTAAGCTTTGTGATGAGGTGATGGCAGGAAAAAACGTCTTCAGAAAGCAGCTTCCACCTTAAATGGATTTTGAAGTATTTTACTGTAGAGTTAATCATGGATGGAGGCCCCTGGGGGAAGGTCTGCAGTTGTTATCTGCATTCTTAGATGCAAAAACTAATGCTCATTTGTACCTACTTGGGAATTCCAGGCAAGAGGCAGGATGAGAATCTAGCAGGAAAGAAATCTTCTCAATACTCCAGCCTGGAGGAGATGGGCTGAGTCCCTTCCCTGACCCCTGATGGGAATTGTCAGGATGTGAACAGAAGGCCTTCCTTGCCTTCACTGGAATGGAATTTGCTGGAGGGCACTCTTGGCTTTGGGAACAGGGGCAGACTGTGCCACATATAACCTGCCTCTAGCCTCTGCTCTCACAATCCATTTTCAACCTGGTGAAATCTTTTCCCTTTCAATTTACAGAATGTTCCATTGTAAAATGGAGAAAAGGACGCTCTTGCAAGATAGTCCTAGTACTAAATAGGTTAATGCTCGTCTTCTTGAAAAAATGTGATAAAGTCCCCTCCACGCCCCCTGCTCCCTACTCATGCCATTCCCCCCACCCCATAGTTGTCATTGGTTGCAAATGTTGACAATAGATGTGTGTATGTGTGTACGTGCACGTGGGATGTGTGTGTGTGTGTGTGTGTGTGTGTGTGTGTGTGTGTGCACTCCCTACTTGCACTGTACAGCATAGCATCCTTACTGGCTCAAAGTAGCACATAGTTTTCTCTGAGATTTTAATGACAGGAAAAAGTCACTAGCGGAGATGAGGGACAAATAGAGCTCTGCAGGGTCAAGTTGCTTAACTTGCTAGATTACTTTCTGGTCAACTAGCAAGAGGGGCAAGCCTGCTCAGTCTTTGTGTGCTAGCCTGAGGGCTGGTGTGTGTGTGTGTGTGTGTGTGTGTGTGTGTGTGTGTGTGTGTGTGTGTGCTCAAGAGCATAGAAATGGCAGGTCTCTGTTCTTGTCCATGATTCCAAAGTGCTTCAATACTTTCAAGAATGAAAATATCGAGTAATAAAGATGCCCAGACTCAGAAAGTAGAAAAGTTTATTGGAAAGTAGAAGAGAAAGGAAAGGGAACTCCCCATGTAGGGAGGAATTTTGCACAGGACTAAGCTGACTATGGTTGGGGCTGGTGCTAGAGCAATAGCACAGCGGGCAGAACACTTGCCTCACACACAGGCTACCTGGGTTGAATCACTGGTATCCCATATTATCCCCTGAATACACAAGTGATTCCTGATGCAGAGCCAAGAGTAATCCCTTGGCATCACCAGGTGAGGCTCAAAAACAAAAACAAAAAACCCAAACAAAGGAAAGCTGTTAACCAAGTCTTGTTTTGTGTTTGTGTGTGTGTGTTTTTTTTAATAGCAAAACTGGGTCTTTGTGTTAAAGAGAATGTAGGAAAGTTACAGAAGACCCATTTAAGTAGAAATTGGGCTCTTTGTATTTCTAATGGATTGACAAGAATTACTTTGGACAAACTGGCAGGCTATCGAATGTAGCCTGCCCACACGGCAGAGTCTGGCAAACTCCCCGTGGCGTACCAAATATGGCAAATACCAGTAACAAGGATGGGTCTCATTCTCCTAAAGAGCCTTGAATATAATCTCAGGGCTAGGATGAAGGAGACATTCCTGGGGCCTGCTCGAGGTAATTGAGGAATAACAGGATGATGAATGAATGAATGAATGAATGACAAGAATTACAGTTACAGAGAATTCAAGGATCCAACAGATCCTTATCTGGCCATTTGCCTTAGGGATTGCCCTTTATCCTAAACTTCTGGTGAGCCTAAGCCCAGGGGCAGAATTTTATGTTGGACATTTGTTAACTTTCGGCTTATCAGAAAGAACCCAGGAGTTCGCAGGAAGTCAAAAACTGTAGGACGAGGCAGTCAAAAATGGGACTGCTCACAGCAGCTGGCGGGAGGCAACGGAGGTTTCCCCTCTCAGTGAAGTGTACCTGAGTCTTCTTAACAGGCGTGTTCTCTGTGTGATGGTCAATACAGGCAAGATGCAAGAGCTGATCCCAAGGAGGCTGGCATGCCGGAGGCTCCAAGTTTGGTCCCTCACCATAGTCCCCTTGATAGATCCCTTACCTCTGAGGTGGCGCTGACGGCCTCCCAACATTGCTGGTTCTGAGCAGCATCTCATGCCCTGCCTGAACCTTGAACTGTTGGTCTGAAATGACCAGGGGTTGTTGGGATGCTGTCAGTGACTTCGGGCCCCCTGAACATAGCTTTTTCTTTTAGGGTCATAACCCAGGGATGCTCAGGGGTTATATCTGGCCCTCCACTCAGGAATAAACTCTTGGCAGTGCTCGGGGAGACCATATGGGATGTGGAGGATTTGAACCCGGGTCAGCTGTGTGCAAGGTAAATGCCCTGTCGGCTGTACTATCACTCCAGCCCACCTGAAGATAGGTTGAAAGGATATCACCCCCCCCCCCCACACACACACACACAAAGATGCGAGGACGTTTGTGACACCAGGAAGAGGAGGGTCCTGGTCTTTATAATGATTCGGTTACAATGATTTGTTCTCTTTGGTGCTAACTGGATGGCTTTTGGGAAGAACATTTTTCTGTGATTTAACAGTTGTTAAAAAAAAAATAGCTTCTTGGATGGATTTGATAGAAAATCTAGGGGGTGAGGGGAGTCACAGCTGTCTCCAAGGAGCCTTGGGGATAATCGGGTTCCCTGGGGGGATCTCAGATAGAGGGGTTACTGAGAAGAGTGCACATCTATCTGTTTTATTTGTGGTGGGTGTAGCCAGACCACTCTGGGCCTCCCCCTCACTTGGGGTCCAGGCCCAGAAAGGATAGCTGGCGCTGGAGTTAAGGGTGGAGAAAATCATAGGGAGGGAGCAGTGGGCAGGAGTCAGGGATTAGGGACAAGAACGGAGGCAGGGCTGGGAGCTGGGTCAGAGCACGGTGCCCCTAACCTCTGCACCAACGCCCCACTCCCAGAAAGACTGGGTCCTGTCTTGCTTTGAAATGCCAACCTGAATGGCCCAAGTGAGCCAGGAGTGCGCGGCACCCCGGCAAAAGAAATTTAAAAAATAAAAAAGAAATTGGGGAAGAAGCAGAGCAGATCTCTGCAAGGGTGTGAAACAGGCAGGAATCCCGGGCCGCTGTTTCCCCAGGCTCGGGCTCAGCGGCCGGGCGCGTCTGCTGCAGGGGCCTCGGTCCCTATCCATAGAGCAAGACTGGCGAGTTGTCCCCAGTCCCGAGGAGATCCGAGAAGCCCCGGCGATCTGGCCCGCCCGGGGCCTCCGCCGAGCCTGTCACTAGAAGGGGACGGTGTCAGCCTCGGGTTCTAAAGTGGCTTCGATTGCGGGTGGGGATGAGGGCGCCGGTGGGGTGGGCGTCGACTCCCATCAAAAATGCGATTGTTCGGCCGACGTTCTCCCGCCACCTCGCACTTAACTCTGCGCGCGTGCCGATGGCACCGGGATTTTCAAGGCGCCTCCAGAGCAGGCTCCCGGGTGCATCCTTCCCCGCAGGCGGACGTCTCGGGGCTGCCCGCGGCCGCTCGGGGTAACTTCGCGTCTCCGGTTGCCCCGTGCAGCCCCCCACCCCGCCCCGCCCCAGCCCACCCCAGCCCAGCACACGCCCCCTTCTTCGCTCCCGCTCGGCGGCGCCGAAAGGGTCGAGTCGGCTCCTCTCCGGCGGGCCCGGCGCGGCGGGGGTTAAGGTGGGCGCCCGCGCCCCGCGCCCCGCGCCCCGCGCCCCGCGCCCGCCCGCTCGCGCGGCGCCGGCCGGGGAGAAAGTGCGGTCAGCGCCCAGCTGCTGCCATGACAACCCGGGCGGCCGCGGCCCGCGCGCGTCGGGGCTGCTCCCGGGGGGCGCGCGGCGCGGGGGCCGGGGGCGGCCGCTGAGAGCCGCGCGGGGCCGGCCGCGCCGCGCCTCGCCTCGCCCGCCAGCAGCCGGGGCCGCGCCTCCGCCGTGCCCGCCGCGCGCCTCGGGGTGCCGGGCGCTCCGGGCCGCAGCTGGGCGAGCCCGCGTGGCGCGAAGGCGGGCGGCGGCCGCGGCGGCGACTCGCGGCTATTGTGACGGCGCTGGGCGCCGGGCGCGCAACTTACAAAGAAAGTGGCGCAGCCGCGCGCGCCGGAGCCGGAGCCGGAGCCGGGGCCGCCGGATCGCGCCCAGCGCGCGGCCCAGCGGGGCGCCCCAGTGCCCGCCCCCCTCCCAGGTGCCGGGTCTGGGCCGCGGACGGCGAGCCGGGGCTCCTGAGACGCGCCCGCGCCGCCCCGCCCGCCTCGCGCGCCCCCTCGCCGCGCCCCCGGCCCCGAGGAGGCGCCCCCCTTGGATGCCCGTCGCGGACGCCGCTTCTCCGCGGCCGGAGCGCTGGGGCTGGACTCGGCGAGGCGGGGTTGGCACGTTCCACTTGGAGGAGTCTGCGCGCTTTTCCAAACGCTTCCTGCGCCTCCCGGCCGTCGCCGCGCGGCCCGAGCTCGCTCCCCGCCCCACCCCTGCCAGTCCTCGCTCGGGGGGCGTGCGCCCTGCCTCGGCCGGAGTTCTGGGAACTTGTGGCTGGCGAGGATGGGGGTCAGTGGGTACCTGCTCCAGCCCTGGAAGTGCCTCGTGGTCGTGTCTCTCAGGCTGCTGTTCCTTATACCCACAGGAGTGCCGGTGCGCAGCGGAGATGCCACCTTCCCCAAAGCGATGGACAACGTGACGGTCCGGCAGGGGGAGAGCGCCACCCTCAGGTAGGGAGCTGCCGTTCTTGGTGAATTGACAAAGAGTTGTACGGGGCGGCGGGGAGGGTGCGGAGAGGGGCAGGGGTGCAGGGGCGCTTGCCGGCGCCGCTCCCCGGGAGGTCCCCGCGGGATCCCGGGGCTGCGCTGCGGCCGTGGATGGGCTGGTGCTGCACCTGGGCACGTGGTGGTCAGAGGCACACTCTCGGTCGTTCGGGGGCATGAGCTGTTTGCCCTCCGCACTGGCCTCCTTGACTCGGGACGTGGTAAGCAGGACGGGTGGCTGGCCCAGGGAGTTGGAGGACAGCGATCTGGATCTGGACCGCGCGTGAGCCTGGTGGCCTTGGTGATTGTGCACCTGGCTGGTGAGCAGTGTTTGAAGCGAACGAGTCCCAAAGCACAGGTCTGGCTTTGGGCGGAAGCCCCCCGTCTTGCTCCCCAGGCCCGCGGACTCGCGTGCTGGGTTGCCAGGGGCTGTTTTGTCCCGGATGTTACTGCCTGGTCTTCCCTGGGGTGCCCTCATTCCAGGAGCTGATACACGCTTTCTTCTGTCTGAACCCTAGCTCTGAGATTGCCGCCTGGGATGGGTCTGCGATGGGTGGAAAAGATCCCCCCACCCCCTGCCCTCATGACTGTATTCTCAGCGTCTCTGTCTCTCGGTGCTGTAATGCATAGCTTGCTCATCTGCTGAGCAGAAAAGTCCGGTTCAGTGTGGAATTAGGTCCTGATTGGCTTCTGGGGTTGAGGTTTTATACATCGGAGGAGGAAGAGAAGGAGGAGGAGATGGAGGTAGAGGAGGAGGAGGAGGAGGAGGAGATAGGAGGAGGAGGAGAGGAAGGGGGGGTTACTATGTTTTGTGTAAGGCAGAATGAGTCTCTCCCTGTTACGCCCGTGGTGGAAATGCTTGCTCACTTGATCCCCAGTGTCTCCAAACCGTTCCACTCACCGAAGGACAACACAGAATTAGTGCTCGCAATGGGAAATCTCACTCTCTGAAATGTTATGAGCATCAGCATGTGGTAGAAGTTAAGACCATTCAGACGAAGAATGATTTCCTGCCTCTTTCATTAAATACGCGCCTTAAAGTTGTACAGACCAGGAGAGTTAACCCCCACCTCCCCACCCGCAAGTCAAGGTTCCTGTGTTTTGCACATGCAGATTCTCAGCCCTTGGTGCTGGTGCCCATTGCTTCCCCCATGCTGATGGCCCTCAGATCCCAGTGCAGTTCAGGTCAAATGCACAGGTGCCATCTGCTGAGGAGGGACCATGGTTGGTGGCCTCACCGTGGATGTGGGGGAGCTCAGAGTCCATGCGAGGCTTGCCAGCATGCCATGTGTTTCCCTCTTTGTCTCTGGCTGGTCTCTGTGGCCCTGCAAATACCTCAACATTCAATGAGAACCACCCTTTCCGGACTCTGTGGGACAAAGGTTAAATACCCATTGGCCTCCCCTCCCTGGAATAACCGTGTATTTGCTTTATAGAACAGATGCCTCGAGAGTTCCAAATATGCCAGATTTCCAGATTACTCTCACAGGAAATGAGAAATGAACTGGTCAGTAGACAGGGACTTGGGTGTGCTTCTGACCCTTGGAAGTCCCCAAGGGATGAAGTGAGGTGGGGGGATGACAATTCCCAGCACAAGAGACAGATGTTTCCAAGGAGGAATCGGAAGGTGGCCAGCTTTGGAGGGGCTTGGACAGACAGATATAGATAAGAGGTCGGGAAGGCTATGGACCCCTGGGACCACGGGAGGCTAGGAAGGGCCAGGGTCTACCCTGAGTCTGGCCAAATGGCAGATTCTGAGTAGGGCCAGACCTGGGCCAGGAACGGCTTCTCTAGAAAACTGCTTGAAACTGGAAGGTTTCTCTCTCTTTCTTTGTCTTTTCATGTCCCACTCTGGGGTCCCTGTCCACTCTCTTTCAGTCTCTCCTGTGTGTGGACAGTTTCCCATCTGCTTTTGGCTCAGTGGGCTTGCTGGGGCATAGCTGGAGGAGATGGGGTGTGGTAAGGCACCTGATCCTGCCCAGCCGAGGCATCAGTCGGGCCTCCTGGAATATCTGCCATGAATTCAGGGCCAGCCCCTGGTGATTGGCTGTTCAGGGTGAGACTTGGAGCCTGGGGATTGACTCCCACCAGTCCACTGGTCCAATTTGGGATTGTAAGGGGGGCAAGCAAGTATACCCGGCATGAGGAAAGGACAGTGCCCTGGCTTCAGAGGGCGCCTCTTGTGCTTCTCAGGCTCAAAGGCTGAACAAGGAAGAACCACCACATTTGGGGCCATCTCTCCCCCAGGGGAGCCCTTCCTTCTCAGACCCCTGCATCCCATTCTGCTTCTGCATGTAGAGCAGCAAGCGAGAGTCCAGACACTTCAGGCTGCATAAAAGTCACTAAATGTGCACATGACTTGATCCCAGGGAGCAGCCGGCCAGAGCTCCGGACTCTGGGTTATTTTATTCCTTTATTGTAGCAGTTTCCTGGCCTCTCTCCTTCCTGTGCTCTCTCCCCATAACCCTCCCTTCTTTACGTTTTTATTTCTCCTATGACCAAGACACACAGGCCACAACTTGGGGGGGCCTGGAGCCCCCTGCTCCCCAGGGAGCCCTGGTGTGGCGGCCTTGCTGTGCATGGCTGCCAGACCCTGCGAGTACTTGTACTTTCCCTCCAGACCAGCAGAGGACTTTCGGGCTCTCATTCCATTTTCTCTCTGCTTTGTTCACATCAGTTTCATTGCTCGGAGGTTCTTTTCCCACCCCCAAAGAAGGAATGCTTCAACGGCAGATTCTAATGTGAAGAAACTTTTTTAAAATGTGCATTTCATCTAGTGAGGGCCGAAGTACTGGGAAACTCATCTAAGGAGGTTCTGAGATTCAAGAAAGGATTGTCAGGACTTGCCATTTCCTATTCTTTGCTGATGGGCTATATGCACCTTTCTTCTTCTTGAAACAGTAAGATTGAAAATGTGTGGATTAATAATGTCACTGTCACTGTCCCTGTCCTCCCGTTGTTCATCAATTTGCTTGAGCGGGCCCAGTAATGTCTCCATTGCGAGACTTGTTGTTACTGTGTTTGGCATCTCGAATATGTCACGGGTAGCTTGCTAGGCTTTGTCACGTCACGCGGGCAAGATACTCTCGGTAGCTTGCTGGGCTCTCTGAGAGGGGCGAAGGAATCGAACCCGGGTCGGCTGGGCTGGCTGTGCTCAAAGCATATGCCTTACCACTGTGCTATGGCTCCAGCCCAGGAGTTCTGGGCTGTAGTGTGCTATGCCGATCGGGTGTCCGCATTAATAATGATGATGTATTAATAAGAATATGTCTTAAGACGTGTTCTCAGCAGTTCAGTGCTATCTTTCAACCTCATAGCTTTGTGAATATTTTTTAAAGTTTTCTCAGGCCACATTCGGCACTGCTTAGGGTTTACTCTTAATTCTGTGCTCAGGAATCATTCCTGGTGGGTTCAGGGGACTATATGGGGTTCTGGGGATTGAACCTGTTTGGATGTGTACATTGCAAGTGCCCCACCCAGTGTATCTATCCTTTTGGCTCCAACATAGCCTTGGATTTTTTTTTTCGGGGGGGGGGAGGAGGTAGGTGTGTGTCACACCCAGCAATGCCTGAGACTTACTTCTGGCTCTGTGCTCAGGAATCACTTTTGGTGGGCTTGGAATTGGGGTGCAGGGATTGGACCAGGCTTGGCCATGTGCAAAGCAAGCACCCTACTCACTGTACTATTGCTCTGGCCCCAGAGAATTGGCCTTTTATTTTCTTTTTTGGTCACACCCAGCCATGCACAGGGGTTACTCCTGGATCTGCACGCAGGAATTACTCCCGGTGGTGCTCGGGGGACCATATGGGATACTGGGAATCGAACCTAGGTCGGTTGCGTGCAAGGCAAACGCCCTACCCACTGTGCTATTGCTCCAGCCCCAGCATTGACATTTAACCCTAATCCATCACTGCCCCATGGATTTGATATGCCCATTTTGCAGATGAGAAACCTCAGATACGGACTGTCCGCATCATTTGATTAGTGTTGTCCAGTTAAAGGTTCTGGAGTCTGATTAGGAACACCTCGTAGTAGTAGATAGTTGAATATTCTATAAATCATGGTCAGATCATGTCTAAAGAGTTTGAATACAGAGTCAGTATAAGCTCTGTTTCTCACCTCAGGCCATGTGGTCCTCTCTGAGCCCCCAGGGCATTCCAAGGGTGAAAATCATGTCACTGGGCTGGGCATGGGATGAGACTAAGGGGACAACTGATAGAAAAGGCTAAGCAGGTAGAAAAGGCTTGAGAAGAACTTGTTAATCCTCACAACTCTCTAAAATGGACTCAATGAGATCTATTTTAGAGATGAGGAACCCAAGGCCAGATAGGGGCATTTCCTAGAAATAGAAAAGAAGCCATGTGAGACTCGGGATGCAGAGGTAGCTTTTGGTGATCAAGCTTCCCCATTGGATACTATCCTCCTAATATCTCCCTGATATTTACAACACCCCCCCCACACACACACACACACAAGCACACATGAACACGAAGTTTCCACTCTGCTTATTCTGTCTTCTTTCTTCATGTGGACTGAGGATCTGGGGAGCTACCAGATCATGGAGAGCAAGACTGGCCTTTCCTCGGTCTTTCCTTGGATGCACAGCATTTGCTCCAAACCCCAACTGTACTGATCTAAAAAATGAAGGAAAATCATATCCTCCAGCTAATTTCAATTTGTCGCTTTCCACTTGCCTTTATCACTTGAGTCTGGATGCAGCTGTGAGTGGTTCTCACACAAATGGCTCAATTGGTGGCCGGGGATGCAAGACAGGAGGCCTGGGCTGGAGCCTCCCAAAGTTTGAGCCCAGTAGAAAGAGCTGGACTGTGGATAAAGCCCCTGACAGTGAAGCCAAGTGTGTGTCTATGAACCATACGGCTTGTCTTTCTGCGACCCCAGGAAAGCCTGGCCAGCTGTGTGGGGGTGTTTTTACTTAGAGACCTTCCTGAGCATCCTGATGGGGACAC